TGGTCGTGGTTCCTTTCGGAAGTCTGCATGGTCTACGGGGGCACTGGTCACTGGGCTTCCAATTGTAACACAAATGCCCAGGTCAATGGGAACCCCCTCCACATCTCGCAGGCCAGCAATGGAGAGCTATGAGACCCCCGGGGCGACGTGATATGTTTCCATTACAATTGGGGGGCATGCTCCAGGGGCCCAAATTGTCCTCAACTCCATGCTTGTGCAGGATGCGGGTCTAAGGACCACACTCGGGTGGATAGACGTTGCTAATCATTTACACTCTCTAGATGACTGGGTGCAACGGCTCGCCCAGTTTGACGCAAATACCCTTATACCCCTTTTTGCCGAAATCACTAATAAACCCCCCCTCGCCCTCAACTTCTCGCCTGACATTCCTTTACGCTCTTGCACCCATACCCCCCTAATCATTGAAACGTGGCTCCGAACGATACAAGAATTGGATCTGGGCCGTACTTTCCCAACTCTCGCCAATGGCTTACGCCACGGTTTCCGTTTCAGCGAACCTTTACCCCTTCCTCATACCATCATTGCTAATAATCATTCATCCGTCAACCTCAAACCACAGGTTTTGAACCAATACATCTTTGAAGAGATCATCACTGGTCGATGTTCTGGACCGTTTACACCGGCCGAACTCGAAGAGATTGTACAAGGGCCTTTTCGTGTTTCTCCGTTGGGTCTAGTGGACAAGAGTGGCTTGACAGTAGAGGAATACAGGATCATCCATGACCTGTCCTTTACTGGAAAGGATGTGCATTATTCAGTTAACAACGAGATTGACTCGGACGACTTCCCAACTTCATGGGGGACATTCAAGCAAATTGCCGAATTTGTGAGTACATTTTACAGTTTGCATATCGGCATTGCCATTGGGCTCCTTCGCATATTGGCGTTTATATTGCCCGTTGGGGGTTGTTATTACGCATATCAGCGTTGGTGGCCCATTGGGGTTGTTGTTCGCACATCGGTGCATTGTGTCGCCCATTGGGGCTGTCGCCTTTGGATGCTTGTTGCTGTCGAATCAAATCTGAGACCTTGTTGCAGGTGTTGAACCTCCCACCAGGCTCCTTAGCAGCCACTGCCGATGTTTCGAAGGCATATCGGACCGTACCTATTTGTGCCGTGCACAAAGTCTATATTTGTTTCTAACACCAAGGCTGGGTCTTCCTCGACCATTGTTTACCTTGGGGTTTAGCTACGGCATCCGGCGTTTGGGGAATTGTGGCTGACGTGATAAGTGAAATCCTAAAACGATGTGAGCCATCACAGTGTGATAGCTCCCGACGTAACCTCAAAACACCGAGCTCCGAGAACAACGCCTTAAGCCATCAACGTAAAAATGATATCCAGACCCAACTAGTGGCTTGACGGAGAATCGAACTCTGAACCTTCCATCAACTGATAGAATGCTATAGGTACATGGAATGTGTTACCATTACGCCAACAAGCCATTCGAGAATCAAACTCAAGACCACAAAGGACCGACTCCGAGTTAAAATGTTATCCGGACCCAATCCATGGCTTGACGGAGAATTGAACTCCGAACCTTCCATCAACCGATATGCGAACGTTAGGTACACGGAGCGCGTTACCATTACGCCACCAAGCCATGACCGGACTACCAAAAATGCCAATAAGACCGGGGAAAAAGAATGGTTATCGTCAAAGGCTTGACAAAGAATCGAATTTGGACCTTCCGTGATATGCGAACATTACATATCGCTACGGAGCGCGTTACCACTACGCCAACAAGCCGTACGAGTGGCCAAGACAATCGCTGTAAAAAGTAGGGTTTCCGGCTTGACGAAGAATTGAACTCCGGACTTTCCGTCAATCAATATAAAAATGTGCATTATTACGGAGTGCGTTACCATTACGCCACCAAGCCGTAGGAATCGAACGACCAGCCAAGACGATCACCATAAAAAGAAGGGTTTCCGTCGGAATGGCTCGATGGAGAATTGAACTCCGGACTTTCCGTCAATCGATATAAAAATACATTAGATCATCACGGAGTGCGTTACCATTACGCCATCGAGCCGTAGGAATCGAACGACCAGCCAAAACTATCGCCATGAAAAAGAAGGGTTTTCTTCATAATGGCTCAGCAGAGAATCGAACTCCAAACTCTCCGTAAAGCATACCGCAAACTACATAGGAATGCGGAGTGCGATACCATTACACTACTGAACCGTTCAAAACGCGCCCTATCTTCTTACTCGACGGACAAAAAGAACGTAAGGCCCGTCGGAGATTCGAACTCTGGTCCCTCCATTATTTCAGTTTCCCACCAGCTACGCGAACAGAGTGCGTTACCACTATGCCACCGGACCATGTGGCGAGCGATACGAAGGTCCAGTAAGAAGCGCACAAAAAAGGAATGGAAAAGAGGGATGACTCGACGGAGGATTGAACTCTGGACTTCCTGCAAAAGACGCGCTTGTGCAAGAACCATAGCAGGATGTGTTACAGTTACGCCATCGAGTCGTGAATACCACATGGCCCGAAAAGATGGAATGAGAACTCCGGGTAATCAAAAAAGGTGGTTAGCATGGGAAAGGGCTCAACGGAGGATCGAACTCCGGACTTTCCATAAGTCAAACACTGGGGTGAAAGGATACGGAGTGCGTTTCCACTACACTATTGAGCCATCGCAGGTGGAAGCTGGATAGGAGGAGAGTTAGGACCAGACATGGAGTGTCCGAGACTAGGGCCAACAAGTCCGGGTTGCGGAATCGGTGCCTGACTGAAGATGGTGCGGGTATGGGTTCACGGAGTTTGGGAATGAGTCACAAGCGAACTCTGGGGCGGAGGAGCGTGCAAGTGAGCAGGTATGGGACACAAAGGAACAACTCCGGCACAGCCTTGGGCTGGGGTATAAATACTACAGCTAGTCTACCAAAATATCATCTCAGTTTCGGCCCACATCCTCACATTCTAAGCCTTAGCCAGCTTAGGAGTAGCTAAAACCCACCCCGAACATCACCTAGAGGTCACCTGGAGTCGAGTTACATAGTAAATCGACCTCGGCACTCCCTCTCCGCCGTCAGACAGCAAATGGAGTTTCATTTGGCATAAGTTCAGCGCCGAAAATCAAACCGTTTATTCCTCCCCTACGCAAGTAGGGCAGTGAAATCTCTCAAACAGCACAACAAGGTCTTTGGAGTTCGTGTGTAGCTGCTAGCTAAGGAAGTTGGCGGTGCAGAGCCCGCAGGAAGTCGCCTTCAGCAAGTGAACGGGTGAGAAGTAGAGAGAGGAAACTCTGTAGAGGCACAAAGAGGGGTAAAAGGAGGAGAAATTGCAGGAACGTTACCGCGAACACATAAAACCCCCGGTCTTATGATCTACGACTCAAAGATACTTCAGACGACTGTGGTTCATGGTCCAGGAAGCCCCTAAATCCATATTTCACCTCGGACTTGATAAATTGGACCCCGCATCGCCTTCCGAAGCTCCTCCTCCGAGGAAGTGTAGAACAGATTCAATCTCCGTTAACCCGAGAAGGCTAACTAGGCATCGGAATTCGCTTGGTCCACCCTAGCTAGCAGGATTTTGAACGGACTGTTCAATCCTTGTACGGATATCTCCACCAATATTATTTAAACCTCCCTACGTACTTGTCTGCCGCGACAGAACAAATTCCCCCTAGAGGACGAGCAATTAAACATAGCCCGGATCTCTCCACCATCTGGCAGTTTAAAGCACCGCAGTCTGCATCACAACGAAACGGGGTATCTGCCGCATACAAATGGGTCGACAACTTCCTCTTCTTTTACATCCCCACCCCATCCAAGCCCCACCTTCCTTCCGCTCCTGACACGGCTCCCACGCCCCAACCCACGGACACACCTTTCCATCAGACCTGACCTCCCCCCTCCACCCTTGCCGAGATTGAGGACATCACACGGCTGTTGGGCGTTCCGTAGCACAAATTGAAGCGATCAGAGTTTGCAGCAGTCTTCCGATACATTGGTTTTGACTGGGACATCGTTCTGAAGCTTGTTTCGGTCCCTAAGGAGAAGATGGATAAATATCTGAAGCGCGTGCAGGATCTCTTGCACTCACCAGGCGGTCGCTTCATCCTCGATGACGTACAAACGGTCCATGGGTCTCTTCAGCTCATCTGCCAAGTCCACACGCGTGGCCGACCATACACGACCACCCTCTCGCGCTTCATCAGCTCCTTCGGCGACGCAGACAAGCACTCACAGCGATACCCTCCTTCCATACTCCTCTCCAACTTGCGGTGGTGGGCTCAGCAGCTCTCCATGCCGAGCATCTCGCGTTCATTGTTACCCGTGCCTCCTGCATTGCCGCTCGAGGTGTATGTCAATGCAAGTATGACGTGGGGCATTGCAGTCATATTTGACGGGTCCTGGCAAGCGTGGAAATGGCGTGGCAAAGGTCGAGAAATCGGTGGTGCTGAGACGCTGTGAGCCATCACTTTGTGACGACTCCCGCCGAGCATCCGACCAATACAAATAACCATAACCATCGACGAACGCTGTTCACACTGAGGCCCTGAGAACGATATAGGGCATCCGATGATATAACAAGTCACCATAACCATCTGAACCTTCCGATAATGACACACCTATATTGAATTCGGAATGCGCCGGCCCCTCCAAGCCCCAGGACAACAAAGAGATATTTCAGACAGCTCGCACGTGCTCCGAGGACTAGGGTTCTGCACGCAGACGTAGCCGAGTTCCGACCAATTGACTACCGAGAACTAAGAAAGGCCTCTGTACAGCTCCATCGTATTGCAAACACAAGTGACGCAGGATCTCTGAAACCCTTCATCATGACCAAGCAGGGGAATCAGACCTTTTCTTTTCTCAGAAGAGCACTGTCGGAACCCCCTCTAGTTACTTCAACAACCTCTCGAGCAAGCAGGCGCGTACTGTTCCGAGGGGAACCATAAGAAAGGACCAGGAATCGACGCATAAACGCTCGTTTAAAAAGGATGTGGAGATAGAGGAAAACGGCCTAACGGAGACTTGAACTCCGGACCCCCCAGAATGACGGTGCTCGACTTTACCATGTCGGAGTGCGTTCCATTACACCATTAGGCCACGATGGAGGGAGGGACGATAGGCCAAGTAAGGTGCTTCCTGGTGCCGGAGCAAGACACCGGGAGGCACAGTGGAACCAGCATTTTCGGAACTTCAACATCCCCGAGAATGCCGAGGGGGACGGGGATGCGAAAGAGAAGGGCGAGAAAACTAGGCGGCTAGGACGATCAGAAGGCGGAAGAGCAACCGAGGTACCAAGGGCTTCCGTGGGAGTATCGGAATTGCGAAAGGAGCTAAAGCACACGGTAAGGCGACTGCTTCAGGCAATAAGGCAGTGTCGGAGGCAGCGAAAGGAGGAGTATCGTAATTCGGAACTAGTCAGGAGCGTGGGGTGCGCACGGATTGATTTCTGAGGCGCTAGGTATATAAAGACGTTGTAGTTTACGATGAATGCATCTCAGTTTGAGGCCCACTTCTCCCTCTAAAGTCACACCGATCAGAGAAGACCAGTGCGCCACCTCACGTAGAACTGGCAGGTCATCAGAGGTCCGGCTGCACGACGAACCACCTCCATACCACGACATTGTCTACAACTTCGTCGCGGTTCTAGTCCGAGTAGTCCTCCGCTCGGCACCGTTTAAAGAATCCCCCTCTACGACTAAGTAGGGTGGTTGAAAAACCCTCAAGCGTCATCACCGACTACCAACGAAGGTTGTGTGTGTAGATGCTAGCTGCGAAACGGATTAAAAGCGCCTTCAGCAAGCGACTTGAGACGGATAGGAGGGTGAAAGGCTTCGTAGGGCACAAAGAAAGGAGGTAGAAAGGAAGGGGTTGCTCGAAGAGGAACTACGCTACTCCCGCCCTCCGAAATTTACGGTTTACAAACCTCCGAGCTCGAATTGGCGAGTCGGAAGGACACGAAAAGAGACATACCCCGGATGTACAGGAGAAAGGAGTCCGCATTGCGTCGAAGAAGGCCTTCCTCTACTTCTGACTGTAGAGCGAGATCACCCTGCATAAACCCGGAAGGCTAACTACTCCCGACTACCGTCGACAGTAGTAGCGCCCTCTAAACGGACCTTCCGTTAGAGTTACCTATTCTTTCTTACAATACATTTTGCCGCAATTGCCAGGAGACTCTCAGCGACAGAACCAATTTCCCTCTAGAGGACGAGCTATCTAAATTGGAGACTACCCAAGGCACCCAGCCCACTTGGCGTCTACAAGAACCGCAGTCCACATCACAACGCTTGCTCTAGAATTTGCATTGTTGACCGCAGTTGCCATTGGGTTCAGAAACTGCCACATACACATCCACAGTGATAACGGCGGCACTATTGGGGCATTCAAGAAGTTCCGAGGCCGCAATCAGGCCACTAACAGGTCCTTGATACGAATTCACGAGGTGGCGGACCGAGCTTCAATTGTGATAACTCCCGTCTGGGTGTACAGATAATGTGGCCGACCTATTTTCGAGAGGGTTCTTGTCAACCGCGTTGCCGCAGATTGGTTGCCGTGTAGAGATACACTGGGGGCAACATTCAATTTACAGGGCCGGTAAATTATGGGAAAATCTTAAGGTAATTTTATACAATCCGAGTAATTACTGGTTATTTACCAGACCGTAAATCTCAAGAATATTTCATACATTCTTGTGATTTGCCTGAGAACTTTCATTCACATGTGTTGGTCAAACCAGTTTCAATTTATCTTCAATAACATGAAGAGGGTTCAAAAAAAGAATTGCACACAGGGAGAATCAAACTGAAACTTGCAAGACAGAAAGCACGTGAACACTCGAATAATTGAGTGTTCACGTGACATAATAAGCTGCAGTGGTAATCACACGGCAAAAAGATTGGCTTCAGCCTTGTCTCAAAACATATCTGAAACCATTAGTTTAAGGATCAGAATAAATACGTCTGAAAACGTACCTGAAGCAAGAAGTTTCCAAGTGCCCAAAGTTGAAGCCAAAACTAATGGTTTTGCCCATAGCCGGAACTGCGGCAGCAACAAGCCTTGTGGGCCACCACAGCTGTAAATCCCTCAAGTCTCTGCAAATATGATCAATTACTAGGAGTTACAGAATTTGGAGTACAAATTCAATGGGATGTCAGAGTTTGTATGCTGTTTGAATGATGCCTTTGAGATTAATAGCGAGATAACTCTGCGTGTTCAAAAAAGGTAAAGGAAACAGGCCATGACATGTGCCTAAGGAACGAAAGGGCTGTTAGCACAGGATGTAATACACACAACTGAGGAACCCACATCATGATTTGCCCGTTTCTCAGTGTGCTACTACAATGTAACACATTTTGAATTAGAGAATGATGTTCTTACCGCGTTGGGGCAACATTCCTCTGCGCATGAGTAAGGTATCCCCCAAAGAAATTGAGTTTGCAGAAGGTCTGAGCATTGCTGCTCTGCTCATTGCCGACATCAAACCCACAAGGTAGAGTGCATGCACGCAGTACCACCAAATCACTGCTGGCATTGCAGATAAGGTAGATCTTCAGACGTAGCTGGGCTCAGCTGCCAACACGACCAGAATAGAGAGAAGGTTGCTGGGGGCAAGGACAAGATTATGCTCAATCACAATGTCTGAGACGCTTGTAAGATGAGAAAGCTTGCCTGAGAATGATCATGATTCCAGAATTGAACATTGTGATGTGGGATCAATGAATCAGGAGATCCTAAATATCATGGGGCTGATTTTAACCATCATCCACTTTAAGTAATAATTCATTACCATATTTAGAAAGTTTGGTTGTGGCTAACATATTTGGATATGACATTTGATTGAAATTTACGGAGGTGGAAAATTTGAGATTTACCGGCTTGGCAAATATCAGGTGATTGCCAAGAAAATTTTAAATTTTCCCACAATTTTCCACCGTGGTAAATCTCAGGCAAATCACAAGAATGTATGAAATATTCTTGAGATTTACCGGTCTGGTAAATAACCAGTAATTACTCGGATTGTATAAAATTACCTTAAGATTTTCCCATAATTTACTGGCCCTGTAAATTGAATGTTGCCCCCAGTGATACCAGACGAAGTCGCAGAATTCTTAGAAGTAGTTTGATTATTGTACTTTGTTTGGTTCAAAAGGCTTCACCTCCTACCGAACAACTTGATGGTCTCTACCCATTCTCATTTTAATCCCAATCCATCCAAACCGAGGAAACGTCGCGCTAAAGCCCCCGAAGTCGCCGAGTCAATTTTCAGACCCCATATTCTGGCAACAGATCGCCTGAGACTTTGGTTTTCACCTCATGCTGTTGCCATGCGCAAGCGATGCAGATCAATATTTTCACCCAAAATCTTGCACGCACACGATGCCGTTCTGTAACATGCCCTAGGCAATGGCTCCCGTGGAAATTATGGCGGCAGCTTAGCACGGTTTCATGAATTCTGTGATAACCTGTTATATTCTGAGCCAAAGAAGGATCAACAGGCCCCGATGAGATCCGAAACCGGAAGGTTCCGAAAACCCAGGCAGGACCAGAAGTCCCGGGGTTGGCTTGTTCTCGCAAGCACCACACTCAGCAGGGTGTGCGACTGTCTGGCTGTCAAGCCGGGATGAGACGGAAGTGTGATGTGACACGCAAGGCTAGCCCGAAATGGTACTAGTCCAGAAATGGCAACAGAATTGATGCCACATCACGCCCGAAGGCAATGATGGTCGCGAAGCGATGAAGAATGCTGAAGGGCAATAAGGAAAGAATAGGAATCACCAGTGCGGGTACCCACGTTATAATGTGCCCTGGTTTAACCACAGGTGCACGTTATTAAGGGACCATTGCCTTCCTATGCCTGGGGTACATTATAATATGCACCTCCTGCGGCGCCCTTGCAACCACCGGCAGGTGCATGGCACCTCGGCAACACCAGTGCTGTCTCAAAAGAGACGGCTGTCATTTGCTTGGTAATTCGGTGTGCCAAATATTCTTATAAACAGATAAATTAAATGCCATCCAAATCCGGATGACCAAATCTGGTCATCCCAATCTGGATGGCGATTAATCTAAGTCATCTAGCTCGCCCTCCTCCCCATACGGCACCTCCTCCTCCAATTCCACGACTAATGCGTCCTCCACATCCACCAGAACATCTGCCAGCATCACAGTGGCCCGCCGCCACACAGGAGCCCATTACAGCTCCCATTTCTCCTTCCAGCGGTGCTCCCGCGCCTCCTGCTCCATCACATACGCGCGCAGCCCTTCTGCCAGCTCCGGTGACACCCCCGGCCGTGGGTTCTTCCGCTCGTGCCACCAGTTTGCCTTGTACACGCAAAAGGCAAGTATCCGGCGCATCTCCTCTTCGAGGAAGATCAGCTCCTCGCGCCACCGGTCGGCCCTCGCCTTGGCTTTCGTCCACTCTATGCGGATGTCTATCACAGCTGTCAGTTCTATCCTTAGCACACATATCCACCACGCACCGTCATGCAGCAACCCATCCACCCCAGTCGCCCGTTGCCGCCGTATACCATATCCATGAAAGCACGCGCCTGCCCTCGCCGGTCTCCAGATTAAACAGGACCGTCGGCTCGACCGGATCCCCAAATTCGTCCGTCTCATCCTCGATCTCTGGCAGCCCTGCCAAAACGCACGCACGACGATCATCTTCCTTCTCCTCCTCATTCAATGCACGCTCATTCATCCCCTGGATGTTGTGCTGGCGCAGCTCTTGGAATACCAGCTCCCAATCCCCCGGCCCCCGTAGTGCGAGCAGCACCACACGCGCCATGCGATAAGAGGTCATGGCCGCCTTGATGCGCGCCTCAATCACGCTCTGCAGTGCTTGGCTCTTCGTGTACATCGCCTGACTCGCCGTGTGCTTTCGCTTGAACGTGTGCGCGAACGTTCTCGTACGTAGCTGCCACCGCAGCTGCCACAAACCCTCGACCGCTTGTGCCTGTCGCAGCCGGTCTTCCTCTTCCGGCAACCCCGACACACACATTGTGGCCCTGGCATCCCTCGGAAACGACGAGGGCAGGTAGAGCTGAATATCCTCAGGCTTTGACTTGTTTTCCACAGGTCGATCGGCCAGCCAGGTA